GTAGTAGTAGTAGTAGTAGTAGTAGTAGTAGTAGTAGTAGTAGTAGTAGTAGTTAGTGTAGTAGTAGTAGTAGTGGTGGTGGTGGTGGTGGTAGTAGTAGTACTAGTAGTAGTAGTAGTAGTAGTAGTAGTAGTCGTAGTGGTAGTGGTAGTGGTAGTGGTAGTGGTAGTCGTAGTAGTAGTAGGAGGAGGAGTAGTAGTAGTAGTAGTAGTGGTAGTGGTAAAAACAGTAGTAGTAGTAGTAGTAGTTGTTGTTGTTGTAGTTGTAGTCGTAGTAGTAGTTGTTGTGGTAGTAGTGGTGGTGGTGGTGGTGGTAGTGGTAGTGGTAGTGGTGGCGGTGGTACTAGTGGTAGTAGGAGTAGTAGTGGTGGTGGCGGTGGTGGTGGTGGTAGTAGCAATAGAATCTCCGCAGCACAAGCAAGATAGTTAGTCTCCTTAAAAGCCTGCGACTTACGAAGTTTCAAGAGTTTGGTTTTAGCGTTCAGACGCTCATTGACCCATTGAAGACCCATAATGAGGTATTTGCCACGGTGCCCGTTTTCCAGCAGTTTGCAAGTCAAATTTAGGGCAACCCATCAAGGACACAAAATTCGTTACTGAGCTCACCCTTCAAATCTCTCGAACCGAGGGTGTGCGCGCAAACATGATTCCACATTCTTTCAATGCAAGACGGTGACTGCAGCTCACCCGATTATTGTTTCGCTTCACTATGCCACTCACTTCATCTCAAATTCCATTCACGGTCCACTTGAGAGTGAACGATGGCCTATCGAGCAGGCGGTCGGAAACTTGATGGGATTGTCAATCGAGCAAATGTGATGACATTCTTAGGTCCCAGCCATTCTCTCTCTTGTTGAGAACCAGGAGGGCGGACCAACGCAAAGTCCTTTCACCATCTTGCTACCTGGGCGCCGTGCCCGCGCCGTGCCAGTGCCGTGCCCGTAGCAGTTCCCCCGTAGGGCTTGGGCGCAACCATGGTTTTGCACTCCTTTTTTTTTTAAAGCTTGCGACTTGTGAAGCCTTGTGAAGCTTCAAGAATTTGGCTGTAGTGCTTGGATGCTCATTGATCCCTTGAGGACACATCATGGCGATATTTGCCACAGTTTCCAGATCAAACTTCGTAATGCCAAGACAGGATTAATAACCCCCCCCCACATGGCAGGTCAACAAGGTCAACAAGGTCTGAGATACCACTCATGAGGTCCACCCCTCCTGAATTATCGGCTCAGGGAGCCATCGTAGTCGCAGTCGTCGTCGGTACTAGGTAGTAGGTAGTAGTAGTAGTAGGTAGTAGGTAGTATTAGTAGGTAGTAGGTAGTAGTAGTAGATAGTAGGTAGTAGTAGGTAGTAGTAAGTAGTAGGTAGTAGGTAGTAGGTAGTATGTAGTAGGTAGTAGGTAGTAGTAGGTAGTGGTAGTAGGTAGTAGGTAGTAGTAGTAGGTAGAAGGTAGTAGGTAGTAGTAGGTAGTAGGTAGTAGGTAGTAGTAGGTAGTAGGTAGTAGTAGGTAGTAGGTAGTAGTAGGTAGTAGGTAGTAGTAGGTAATCAAATGGGCGTCTTCGTTGGTAGCGGTCCCAAATGATCTGCCGCTACCCCCTGCCTCTTTTTGCGCTGAAAAACTGCACCCCTGCCTCTTTTTCGCGCTGAAAAACTGCATGCTAGTAGCGATACCAGGAGCCCTTAGTAGCGAAACCAGGGGCCCCTAGTAGCGTCCTCCCCTGCTGGAAGAATGGTGGCGAAATGTGGGTATGGAGAGACCTTAGAGACAGGTGGTGACACACACACACATTTACGGCTCAACCACTCACGTGGGGCTTCTTGCAGGGCGTTTTTTTTCAGACCTTCGGCCCGCCCAAATCATCAACCACCACCACCGCCATCATTGGCGGTACAGAGCCACTCGATGAAAAGATACAAGGGGTCGATTCGGTGTCGATTTAAGAGGGTGAGAATTTGGTTTTGCATGGAGTTTGCGGATTGCAAACAATGTGTCCTCAATTCACTAGCCAAAATGGCATGCCATTTTGGCTCAAGGATCAGAACCCTGATCCATCAAAGATCAAACTTTCGAACTTTTCTGTGGCTGTATCCCACTTGATCTTTTCTGACTCTCGCCGCAATGGCTGACACGCTTTTCGACTTCGAACTTTTGGACTCAGCTGATGACTTCATGGATCTGGACTGGGATCCTATGGAGCAGGAGGTCGCAGCCGCAGAATCAGCCCAGCTTGACGATCAAGATGAGATGGCCATTTTGGCCGATTACGTGATCCCCCCGGACAAGACCCCTGAGGATCTGGCAAAGGATCTGGAGGCGATGGTGAGTGGCGTCAACACCCTCTCGCTCCAGGTTACCACAGGGACGGCGGTGGTTGTATCCCCACTGACAGTGGCACCTACATCGTCGACCCCTCATTGGCATCTTCGGACGCAGCACACAGCGGAGTGACATAGCTTGGACTGACACCACTCCGGAACCGGCCCTCTGACCCCTTTTCAAACGGTCCTTGTGCTGACCCTTCCTGGGATTAACCCGGGTGGTAAAGGGCAGGTGCTGCATGCCCTGATACCCTAACTGCTGGGGGAGATGGGCGAACACCACTACGGGTCCAGGACCGCATGGGCTGGGCCTTGCACGTTTGCCATTTATTTTGAGGATTGGCGAACACTGGGTGGCATCCGTCCTTCGGGATTGGCAGTTTTTCGAATGCCACCCAGTGCGCCAGGCGAAGTCCTGGCACAGGGTGGAAGGACAGCTCAAACCTGTAAAGGCAGACACTACCACCTCTCAGGGAAAAGAGGTGTAAGCTGCTGCCTTGATGCTGCTTATATTTGCCTTTTGGATTGATGTTTGAGAGGACACTTTGGTTTTGCATGGAGTTTGCGGATTGCAAACAATGTGTCCTCAATACATTTCATTAGCCAAAATGGCATGCCATTTGGCTCAAGGATCAGAACCCTGATCCATCAAAGATCATCCCTGGTAGGTCAGCTTCGGACGCGGTTGGTTTGCAAGCCGATCCCAGTCCACTAGGATTTGTTTTCGGTCACAGATCGCATCCAAGCCAGTGGGGAGGGCCGGGTGATCTGGGCCCCGGGCCAAGCCAGTAACGGTCTCCCCGATGGTCTCCTTGGCAAGGCGAACGCACTGGTACATGCGCATCGAGATGAGTGCTCGGAGTTCATTCGTCCAGCCATGGTCATTGTTGGTGAAGTTCAAGTCCCTCACTGACTTGGATGATTGGTACGAGTGGTTCTGGGGGAAGGACATCGCTGAGCGGAGGCCCCCCCCCCCCGAATCCACACTGGTCTATGCCGAACGCAATGCATGGCGTGAGATTCACAACAAGGTGTATGAGGGAGCCACGTTGAAAGATGCCATGCAGGACCTCCGCCAAGACAGCCTATTCTGGACCAGGGAGGTCTATGAGAGGTGCCAGACTCGCGGCAACTCCCAGACACCCATCAAAGGGAAATCCAAAGGACAGAAGGGCACCACATGGACCACGCGGCAAATTAATGGTCAAAAGGACAGACCAAGACTTGGACCCCTTCAGCCAAAGGCAAGGGCAAGTCCGAGACGAAAGACAAAGGCGAGTCGGAGCCAACATGGCCTTCGTCCTGGGCAACTGCTGCACCCAATGGAGTCCCGTTCTGCCGTGACTTTCACATCAAGAAGACCTGCCAAGGCAACTGTGGCCGTTCTCACACCTAGTCATGAAGGATGGATGGGTCTGCAACGCACCCCCGGGGCAGGTGACTAGGCCTGGCATCCACAGATGCTCCATGCTCTGATATGGCCTTGTTAAGGCGAGTGGACTGTCTCCGGGCCCTGATAAGGGAACAGTCAACACTCAGGCAGGCATACCAGACCCCCGACAGACCAGATATGCCCCCTACACAGCGGGCATTGAACCAGTGGACTGGGAATGAAGCGGATGCATGGTTAGAATTGCAGCGAGAAGGCAAGGAAGTCGAGCATGACCTGCTCCGGGACCAACCATACAGTGACCTCTGCAATCGGGCATTGGCGGGCCAGCGTGAGGGCGGTGGGGGAGGCCCCAACTGCCGCGCTTGGAGCATTCTCCGTTGGATCCCCAAGGCATGTGCACCGCCACCAGTACGAGGCCGCAAAGAACCCCACTGCTGGGTGGAAGGTCTGAAGGCATCAGACCAACAGCTTGTGGACGACGACAGCAGGGCAAAGCCGAAGTCTCCAGCACCATGGAACTTCTTGGAGCATCCAGTGGATCCCAAGGACAATAGCATCACACCGAGTGCTTGGCGATGCAGTTCCATCTGGGCTACCAGAGCCCTACGAACACGGCGCCACTTGTTAGGGAACACCCTGATCACCTTTGACCAATGCCGGCTAGGACAAGTGGTAAAGAAGACGACCACCCTGTCCACCAACCTTCATCTACAACATTGGCACGGCATGGTATGTGACCATGACCCAGATGATCACAAACAGAGTGACACGCTCACGTCATCGGACCTTAGCAGGTACCCATGGGATATGATGCATGGACTGGCAAGCGCCATCCACGAACACCAAATGCGAAGCCTTTTGCCGGGCGCACCGACAGAGCCCGCAGTTGCTTCATGCACTGATAACGGACCAGGTGCCTCTAAGAAGCCCCGACTGGGGGATACATCCAAGGCAGGCCTCCCAGTTACACCTGGGAACCAACAAGATTGCCAGAAGTTGGCGCAAACACCCAAGCAGGGTCAGCACTCCGCCTGCGGTACGTCCTGGGAGGCAGACGGGCCATCAAGACCCATTATGGATCATCCATCCGAGGAAGGGGTCAAACCTCAGAACCCCAACTCCGCCTGCGGTACGTCCCGGAAGACGGACCCACAACCGGGTCAGACTGGAGGAAGCCCTCCACGTCACGTGGCCCAACGAACGGCCCACAACTCCGCCTGCGGTGCGTCCGGAGACGAGCGCCTCATCACACTCGGGGTTGGATAGACCTTCCCACTTGCCTACTACGGCCAGGCTACACCTTCTTGATGACAAACTTCTTGTCCGCTTAGGATTCAGAGTGCGACCAATAAGAGATGGAGGAGGCAAAACATCACCCGGCCGTATTCCTCCACCACTGAGGTCACCATCAACACTGGCTACCAAGGGACCATTGATCCTTGCTAAGGTCCAGTCAGTCACTAAGTTCCAGGGCTCCATCAACCAGCATGAGAAGCAGCGCGCATTTCCCGACGCCCTTCTACGGGAAGTCCGACACATCTTGGTGGGCCCTGACAAGGACGCCGTCCACCAGGGCCAACCGTTCTACCTCGAGGCGATTCATGACCTGGCCAAGCAGATGAACGATGTGGACCAGGACTACCCCCTCATCCTCCGAGAAGGCGTCCCACTTGGTGTCTCAGAACCTACACTGACCGGTGTGGCCCACAAAGTCTGAGTTAAAAGGCGAAGACCTTACGATGGAATTCCTTCCACCCCCCCCGGGCAGGGCCAACTACAGCTCGGCAGAGCAGTTCATAGAGGAGATCAAGGAAACCTTCCGGGAAGAACGGGAACTGGAGAGGCAGCTGCCTACTGTGGATGTAGCTTTGAGGAACTTTGCCCTGGTCCCATGGCAGCTATCGATGAAGGGGATAAAGTGAGAACGATCTATGATGGCTCATGGCGAGGGCCAATGCCCATATCCAGAGAAACACCGAGGAACGCACTACGGCGCCCACTGTCATGGACTGTGTACACTGCCTACATTGGTTGCGCGCCGCCCGTGGGATTTGCCCATCCAAGCGGGCAGGTGCCTCGGGCCCTGATACCCGCGAGGATGGGCTGGGACAATGGTCCTGGCCGGAGCCGGGCACCGAATGGCGCATCCTCAAAGCGGACGTCGTAGGCGCATCAAGATCCACCCCCAGGATTGGAGGTACCAGGTTGCCCAAATTGGTGACGAATGGTGGGTCAACAAGGTGGGCGCGTATGGGATGGCAAGTGCCCAGCTTTACTGGGCGCGCATGGCAGCCCTACCATCTATGCAGTGTTCCCGGAAATCGATTGGGGATTCGTCTCCGTTGACGACTTTGCATGGCTACTCTGGGGACCCCTAGCGGAGCTCCGCCCGACGGCCCTGTTAGCGGCGCTGCTCTCCCTATAGGGACCCCCTTGAGCTGGAAGAAGACTGCCCTCTCTCACACGAACACATGGCTTGGCTTCGTGATTGACCCTTCTGGACCCATTGTCCAGATGGCGAAGGAGAAACACACCTTGGTCCTGCAACTGCTGGATAAACTAGCAGCAGGGGAAGTATTCACCCTTAAGGACCTTGAAAAGGGCATGGGCAGACTCCAATGGGCAACAAGTGCTTGCCCCTTAACCAAACCGCTTCTTCAACCGCTTTGGCAATGGAAAGGAGCAGTCAAGTCATCGGGCAGACCTAATCATTTGATCCGAGTCTTTGCCAAGATGTTGCGACTACTTTTCCAAGAACCATACACTCAACCAACACCCTTTGCGCCCTGGTCACCCTGGCGCGGGGCGAGTGATGCGAGTGCTTCCAACCAGAAGGAGTACTACATTGGTGGTTGGCTCTCCTCTGATCCAACCCCATCCAAACGATCAGTATTTTGGTTCCACCTCAAATTGGAAGAGACGACCTTTCCCTGGCTGTTCAACACCAAGACAGCCAGCGCTATGATACCAGCGCTTGAGCTACTGGGATCCCTCATTCTCATCTCCTTCATCTTGAAGATGGGGGAACGCCACCAGCTGGCCATCAAGATCCCGGTCATCACTGACAACCAAGGGAATGTCTTCTGTATGCTGAGCAACAAGACGCGGCAGATGCCCACTTCAGCTATTTTGATGCAGCTGGTCCTTACACTTCACAAACGGGGGCTCAGCTTGCCCCCAGCCACGTGAAGCGAGACCTCAACCAATGGGCTGACGAACCCACCCATCCGAATCCTACAGTTTTCCGGAGTTTACCCTCATGAACCGGGTCCTCAAGGAGATCTACCACTACTGAGGCCCGGGATTTCTCCTTTTTAAGCTCCTCCTCAGTTGCTTCATGCACTGATAGGGAGGAGCTCGACCAAACTAGACCATGACACCCATGGGTCCTAGACTGGACGCCCGGTGTCAGTCTGCTTTGCAGGTTCTCACAGGCAGATTTTCGAATGCCACCCAGTGCACACCAGGCGAAGTCCTGGCACAGGGTGGAAGGACAGTTCAACAGGGAAAAGAGGTGTAAGCTGCTGCCTTGATGCTGCTTATATTTGCCTTTTGGATTGATGTTTGAGGACACTTTGAGTTTTCTAGAGAGGACGAACAGTGTGGATGCCTCGACAACAAAGATCGTGGTGAACGAGAAGTGCGTCCACAACTTGGTCAACCCAATGAGACCTCTAGGAACTTTGCCCTACATGGCTGCAGATCGGCAGGATATTCAGTTTCAGGCGCAAGAGTTGGCAAGCAAGTTGGAGAAGCCCACAGAGAAGGCGTGGTTGAGTTTGAAGCGATTTGTGGGATATTTAGCGTCGACAATGGAACGGATGTGGTGATGCACAGTCAGACGAAGTGCAATTCTTCCAGGAACAGAACAAGAGGTTTGACAGTTTGACAACAGCGCCAATTTTTGAAGAGTAGGACGACGCATGGTTGGAGGTCACTTGTGATTCAGACTGGTCTGGAAGCAAAACAACACGAAGTTCAACGTCAGCAGGTTGCATTTTCTTGGCTGGAAACTGGATCCGTGCATATGCACGACCGGAGAAGAACGTTACATGTCCAGCGCGGAGTTGGAGTATGTTGCATTGGCGTCAGGCGCCTCAGACGGATTGTTGCTGAAGGCAGTGCTTGAGCGTCTAACTCAAGAGAGGGTGACATTGGTTGTCTATGGCGACAACAGCTCAAGCCTTGCGATAGCCCAGAGAGAAAGAGTTGGGAAGTTGAAGCGTTCGAGTGGAAGACTCCTGTGGCTACTGCAACGCCAAGGTCGGGATTTGGGGCTGAGGTGGACACAGCCACGAAAACCAGCAGGCCCTGGAACGAAGTCTTTGGGAGGCAAGAGATGAGCATGTTGATGTTTCTGATTGGCTTCGAGGAGAACAATTTGGGCAAGGAGGAGTTCGAGACACAGAGGCTGAGAGCAGAACTGCGAAAGAGACTCAATGAGGTCAGAAGGATGGTTTTCGTTCAAGGAGGTTCACCAGAGAAGTCAACCCAGACAAACTAGTTGGCTAAACGATAGCTCCGGCTTACAATGAAAGCATTGCTATCAGGCGCAGCCTTGAGCCTGGCTGCGGAGAAGGATCAATGCGCGCCAGAAGATCAGCCAGAAGGATTGCTTGGAAGAAAAGCCGCTGGCGCAGAGAGATTGGGTGTTGAAAGCGCTGAAGAATACAGCGCGAGAATTGAGAAGGCGCGTGCGTTCATGGCAGCCATGCGATTGGAGATGGTGAAGGAAATGACTTCACTTCAGAAGAAGAGCCAGAAGCAAGAACCGATCTTCGCAGATGGAACAGGTTGACTGAATGGGGGAACTGGTGAAATTGGCCCTCAGGTCACAGAGATGAGGATGCAAGTGAGGAGACGGGAAGAGAAGCCAGAGGCTGTGTCAATCGGGGCAGGAAACCCTGGATTAAGTTTCAGAGAAGTGGCCGGCCCAGCGTGGGGCGAAGAAGAAGAAGAAGACGAAGAAGCTGAGGAAGAGCAGCAGCCAGAGGTGAGGAGAAGCGCTTACGTCGATGATGAAGTCTACATACGCGAAACAGAAGTGCATGTTGGTGAGACTGGAGGCTGAAGTCTTTGCAGGAGAAGACAATGAAGGTGATTGCGAGACAGACTATGGAAGTCTTGCTGAACACCTCGAGGAGGAAGAAGGCTACGCGCCGCTTGGGGGACAAAAGTGGAGAAGAGTGCCAGAGAGGTACAGGTTTGAGACCAAGGAATTGAAGTGTGCCTAGTTGATGATCAGACAATTGCGGGATATGATGGAAGAGAACCCGGAAGACGAAGACTTGCCAGAAGGCGTGGCAATGTTCAGGAACTTGCAAAGGTCATCGCGGTGAGAGGCCTTGAAGGACGAAAGATGGTGATCGACTACATGAAGTCGTTGCGTCAGTACACCTACCACATCCGGAGGGGCGATGAATCAAGGGATGCCCCGCTGGAAGAAAGTGAATGGCCAGATGGATGGGTCGGGTCGCAGCGCACTATGGCCCGCCGTTGGCGCAAGAGGACGATGATGATGAGAGTGACGTGGAGTCACAAGATGAGGGTGGAAGCGCGAGAGACGAAATTCGTGACCGGAGTTCAGATGAACCCGAACCGGAGAGCTGAGTAAGTGCGTGAAGGATGAATGCCGAAGTAGCTCGACGGCAAAGCTTTTCAAGTTCATGCCATCGAAGGCAGGGCGTGGACATGACACCACACTTGTACACCCCCACACATACAGGCTCGAGTACAAGGGAAAAAGGTCTGGTCATTTGAGCTCGCGCCATTTTGCGACGTGACTTATTGTCGATTCTGTGTTTGAGCGGGCTCGCCGTCGTTGGTCTGACCAGCTCGGCTGTCAAAAACTGTGTTTAGGGCTGGGTTTTTTGGATCTGGTTGGATTCAATCCTCGACTTGCGTGAAAACTGTTTGAGGTCTGTGCTGCGCTGTGAAGGTGTACTTTTTGGGCTCCTTTTGTCACCCTTCAACAATGTGTTTTTTTCGCCTTCCCTTTTTTCCACCCTCGAAACCGTTTTTGCACCCTCAAGATTCCTTTTTTCACCATCCTTTGGCGCCTTTTTTCACCCTTCTAAAACATTTTTTCACCCTGCGCCCTTTCATTTTCACCCTGTAGCATGTTTCTTTCAACCTTCACCTTGTTTTTTCATCCTTCACCCTTTCTTTTTCGCTGCAAAACCCTTAGTTTTCACCTCCAGAACTTCTTGCGACTAACCCTTCGGAACGCTCTGGAAACTGCGCAGAGACTATCCGGAACGACGGGAACCGCCGGAAACTGACCCGGACGCCTCCGGAATCCATCCACCAACGGAGTGCCCACCAACCGACCAACCAACGAAGAAACAACGCGGCCAAGCCAACGAACCAAGCAAGCAACCAACAAACCAAGCAACCAAACAACATAACTCTGTGTTTCCCCAAGCGCTGTAGATTCGATACTAGAAACCCTTCGCGGGGGAGGATTGGTTTGCTGCGGGGAAGGCGCTGCGCCCTCCCCATGGACACATCATCCATCCATCCATCCATCCATCCATCCATCCATCCATGTATCAACGGCGCGCCGACCAAGCGACAAAGCGACGCAAGCAACAAACCCACCAAGCAACCAACAAACCAAGCAACCAAACCACATAACTTTGACGCCCCCTCCCGCCATTATATATACAGTTCACCCATCCATCCACCCGTCCAACAAGCAAGCAAGCAACAAAACCAAACAACCAAAAGCGCGCAACCCCAAATGCTGTCGATACTTGGTTTGCATCGCCTTCCCCCGCGCCCCCTCCCGCCTTTATTTACACGGCTGTGTTTTCCCCAATGCTGTTGCTACTTGGTTTGCGTTGCGGGGGAGAGCGCAGCCTCTCCCCCACACCCCCTCCCGCCATTGTATTTGCAGAGCATCCATCCATCCACCCATCAGACAGCAAGCAAGCAACAAACCAAGCAACCATCCATCCATCCATCCATCCAACCAACCAACCAACCAAGCACGCAAACAGAACAAATTGCATATCCATCAAGCGCTGTATCACGCAAGCAACCAACAGCAAGCAAACCAACCAACCAACCAACCAACCAGCCAACCAACCAACCAACCAACCAACCAACTCAACGCACCAAAAAGTAACATCACTGTATGTGTTTTCCTCGATGCCAAGCAACCGACGAGCCAAGCAGGCCAAACCAACCAACACACCAACCAAAGGAAGTCGGGTAAAAAAGAAAGGGTGGGTAGCCTACCAAGCAACCAGCAAACCAAGCAACCAAACTGTGTTTCCCCCAAATGCTGTCGATACTTGCTTTGCATTGGTAGCCCACCAAGCAACCAACAAACCAAGCAACCAAAACCACACAACCCCGTGTTGTCCCCAAAGGCTGTCGACGCTGGGTTTGCAGTACACCAAGCTAGCCAACCAACCAACCAACACACCAAGCAAACGAAGGAGGGTGAAAAAGACAGGGTAGAGGGTCAAAAAAGAAAGGATAGAGGGGGAAAAAAAGGCTCAAAGGTTAAAAAAAGGGTTCAGAGCGTGAAAAGGAAAGGTGGAGGGTGAAAAAAATAGGGTTGAAGGGTGAAAAAAGGTTGCCCGTATTTTTTCCTGGTTGCTTCGCATTTGTGACGATGCTAACCCTCATGCAGCCAGCGTCCCCACCGCAACCATGATTTTTCAGCATTGCTCATTACACCAACGTGCCAAAAGGAAAAACAAGGAATCAACACGTTTCAGCTTTGTCTTCCAATAGTTGAGATCCTCTTGCATCTGCAAAACTCTAGATTCTAGACGGTGTGCCCCTAACTATAAAGAACCCTCCAAAGAGTTGGAGTGCGCTTGTGCTGCGCGCTGATTTATGGCTGGAATTTTCTATATAATATATATACAGAACTTTGGCGATAGTTTCTTGGATTTTGGCAGTGCCGGCATGCCGCAGCAATGTCAAGCTCAAAGACTGGCTGATAAACAGGGTACAAATCAAGATAAATCAAGACCACCAGCAGTTGTCATCAATGTTCAGCTTTAGCATCGTGGCTCGTGAAGATGGGTTGACTGGTTAGTGATGATTATTGCCGCAAACTCAAGACGGATCACAAAGTCCCACAGCAACTTGATCATTCACATTTGTGGTCACATTTGGTGTTGGGTTCATTTTGATTCATGGTCTATTCTTGCGCGTCACATGATTCCAGG